AATAACAAGGACTAGCATGTAGTGTAGGAAAATTGCTTTTGATAGAGACAAGAGAACAACAATCCTTAAGATGTAAGCATAAAACGAGGAGCCATCAAGGGAGACTGAGGCCAAGCAGCCAGAGAGGTCAAAGGAAAACCAGAGGAGATTAGATATCTTGGTCACAGAGGAAAAAGAGCATAACCTCATTCTGTTTTCACCCTTTCCAGAGACTAGAAATTTATTTTCTGAAAAACCAACCTAAGAAGTTCTGGACCTACATAAAGAATTAGCAGCACAGACTGAATACAGGGGAGTGGAAAAGTTGACACAATGAACTATGAGACTCTCCATATCCCCTCTCCTGACCTATTCCCAGAGAGGATTTTTCTCTGTAGAAACTATTGGGAGGTATACTCCAAAAAATAGACAGGCAGACAGACAGACAGACAGACAGAAGAAGGAAAAGAAGGAGAAGGAGAAGGAGGAGGAGGAGGAGGTGGAGGGAAGGAAGGAAGGAAGAAAGGAAGGAAGGAAGGAAGGAAGGAAGGAAGGAAGGGAGGGAGGGAGGGAGGGAGGGAGGGAGGGAGGGAGGGAGGGAGAAAGGAAGAAAGAATTAAGCAAAGGAAGTAGTAGACGATAAGAAATCCAGAAAACAGAGGGTTTAACATGGCAAAAGGAACGCAGGACAGCTTGCAGCAGGCCTAGAAGACAAGCAGTCCAGAGTAAGTAGGGAAGCAGAGGACTGAACTAGGAAGGCCTCCAGCAAAAAACGTGAAACTGATGTGTTTCAAGGTTTGGTGGGTGTTTGGCAGACCTATTGGAGCGTTTGGAAAAAGTAAAGATGGATACATGGAAAACCAAGCAGATGAAAAATTAAGCAATTATTCATTTGAAAGGGGAAAGAGATAAGAAGAAAATAGTCATAGTGTACTACTTGACTCAGCAAGAAACAATATTTAAATTTATACCAGAAACATATTAATATATAACATACAAATGCTGACTGGTGATTTATTTTTTAAAATGTGTGGCCCTGGCTGGTTGGCTCAGTTGGTTGGAGCATTGTCCCATACACCAAAAAAGGTTGTAGGTTTGATTCCCAGTCTGGGCACACAACTATGTTGTGGGTTCGATTCCCCAGTTGGGGCATGTACAAGAAGCAACCAATCAATGTTTCTCTCTCAGATCAATGTTTCTCTCTTTCTCTCTCTCTCTTCCTTTCTCTCTAAAAATCAATGAAAACATCCTCGGGTGAGGATCAGAAAAAAACCACTATGATATAATCATATTGGGAGGATGGGAAAAGGGGAAAGACAGGACATGTGAGAGGATTAAATCCTCAACCATCAAGACAATAATGGGAAGACAAAAATTAATATCTAAAATTGATGAATAAAAAGCCAGAGTACAAGTATATTATTTAGTAATCCGGAGAAACATCTAAGAGTTAGAAATTATTTTCTCCAGGGGGCACAACTTAGGGAAAAGGACAGTAAGGTAAGGAACAAATGTTTTCATGATCTTTGACCACTGGCTGATATTTTAACTATGGATACAAATTAACAGTAATAAAAAGTAATTCAAGATAAATGGAAAGTATGGAAATGGAGGCATTACAGTTTGAGTGTCTGTCAATGGCTTAACTTGGCAGGAGGGAGACAGGGCAGTAGCTGTAGAGGACTGCACAGCTGAAGAAAGAATTGTTATAAAATAAAAGGGACCAGAGCATATTTATATCCGGTGTGGAGGTAACAACTGAAAAGGAGAAGTTGAAAGAGCAGAGATTGAGGAGCTAACTAATGAGGAGACCCTGGAGGAGGAGGTAGATAGTAAACACTAGCCTTCATCTGGGTTGAAGAAATTTTGGAATCAAACATCTTTGTTTACTGGGAAACCATCTCTGTGGCCATCTTGCTGCCGCTTCCTTTCTCTCTCTGTCCTCTGTCCTCCCACATAAAGGTGCTCTTCCTATCTAATATCCCTGGGGGTTTCCAATCAGGAAAGTCTCACTCTTTCCCTAGTATTCTAAAGCTATGAAGGAATGAGAAATTCAAATCTCTGCATTTTACATTCTTGGACATGTTTATTTCCCTGAAATTATACTCTTCCCACATGGCACATCAAAGCTATTTCTTCACTCTCTTCCTGAAGATATTCAATAAGAGACCTTAATACCGTACCCTTAATGAAGACACTAAAATCTCTAGCAAGCCCACTGTCATGCATTAACTTGTCCTCAATGAAAATCTGATAAAAATGCAGTAGCAACTGAATGACTCCAATTAAGCAGGTGACTTAGGAAGGTCATTTTCAAGAAATAATAAATACCCTTAGGGCCACGTCCCATATAGAAACGTTTGTACTGACCATCATGCATGCTACTTGTCAGCACATAATTATTCTCTGGAAGGGAATACCAGGGCCTCCTCTGTCCCTGTGAAGGTGGAGCCCTGCACGTCCTCTGGGGGGCACCATCACATTGAAATCTGTGGAAATGACACTCCTCCCCCAGGGAGGGACTGAGCAGCAGCTATACACAGCAGCTCTGGTGAGACCCCTTTTATTTTACTACACAATGCTATGTTCCAGGACAGGGAAACGACTCTAACCTTTTCATCCCATTCACTCTTATAAAAGCACATTCAACTGCATCTTAAAAACATTATACTCACGAATGGAAGCTGGAGTTGGAGTGCTTTTAATCCTCCACCTCCTGTCCCCAGTGGATTTCATTTCTGATATGTGGTTTAGAACAAAGTTATCCAATAAATGTAGAGTTGATTCTAAAATCACAAAGAAAAACTGCCATGGCAGTTGCTCTTTATCATTTCTGAAAAGTGAATATGTGTTGTTCTGCCAAGTTTTCTTAGTAGTTGTACTTTGCAGGTGGCTCTGTTCCAAGGTCCAGATGTATAAACATCCTGTACATGCACGGCTAAGCCTTTTGGAGTGCTCTCCCTGCAGCTGGTATGGCCTTCCAGGCAGAAACGACGTAAGCATGATGTGAGCAGGTAAAAGCAAAAACAGCAACAGGGACAATAAGATTATGATAAAAGTCACGGAAAAATGGCAGGTAAAGTCAAAAGGAATGCAGTGTTTCATACTTTTGACACCTTCAGTTGCTTAAACACAGTATGTTATGGTACAGTAGCAATAAATACCCTAAATGCCATAGAATGTCCTTGATTTTGAAAAGGATTGTGTCCACTTTACAAAAGGGGGGAAATTCCCTTTAAAAAAAATACAAGGCAGTATTCAAAATGGAAAGATCTCTTATTTAAACTTGTTCAAAGTCATATTTCATAAAATCTTCATTCTCAGTCTTTCTGCTTTTCTACCTTGAAATCCCATTATTATGGCATGTCTCTCATGGTTGCTCACCATTTTAAAATATATATGCTGAGAACGGATGAGCTGTAGGCAACAGAGATCAGATTAAAGTGAATGTAAATACCGTGAGGCATCTACCACCATCGTGTGTAATTCAAGTCCAAGTTCTGTAAGGGATAGGAAATCTGGTGTGAAAAGAACTTTGAGAAGAGACTATTTATCACGAAGGATGATGAATCAAGGGCTAAAAACCAATCATCTGTTCTTTTTTATCTTCCCCCCATTGAATCAAAAATCTTGACAAATCTGCTGCCTACGTAAGACCTCGTATCCTATGCTGCAGGTTGTTAGCCTTGAGCTCATTTGTGGTTATTTGACTATGAAGCCGTGTCTACTTTAACATGGTTAGTCTCCCCACAAAGACACCTGGCATTTTGCATTCACACACTGCTTCATGCTGATTAAACCATGCTTAAAATTAATGAAAATGATACAAACACAAGTAAAAATGACAGGAATAATAATCCCATTCTCTACAACACACACACACACACACACACACACACACACACACAATCATGAACTGATTTTATATTTGCAAATAAAGTTCACAGTTAACTGAGGAAAATATTCAATTCAATTAAGGTCTGTATGATGTCATGTTTTTTCTTGGCATTAACATATCAGAATTTACTTCCTGCTATTTCCTACCCATTACAACCTCTATTGAGCCATAAGGGGCCATTTGGTGGCTCTATTCAAACCGCTCCAGGATTTAAATCAATTGCGCACTTGAATAGAACAAGAGTATGACATTAATGGCTCTAAAATTATTGTCTATGAAACTCTGGGAATGTTTTTGAGATGGCCAAAACCTCTATCTACCATACACACAGACACACACAAATAAGTAAAACTCTGTTTTAGGACTCCATATTTCATTTCCATTTTATTTCACATTCAAATTATTTCCTGAAATCAGAGGCTTTTGTTTTGGCAAAACTTTAGAGCTCCAGACCCTGTGATAACTAGATGTTCCAGCACAAGAAGCAAATTTGGGATTTGACAGAGGCAAATGGCAATCATTAAACTACTTCCTATTTCATAATAGAATTTTTGAAAAATCAATTACTGTGGAACAAGGCTATTAAATGTGATTTACCATCAAGAAATATGGGAGCAGGCTTTGAAGAGGAGTTTATTCAGCACCCATATCTCACTGATAAAGAACCTGAGGTTCAGATGGGTTAGTTGATGGATCCATTTTCTAGAAGCAAAACGGGGACCAGATGTCAAGCTCCAGCCTCAGGCCCAGCTTCCTCCACCAAGCACACGGCAAACAGTAGTTTTGTTGGTTAGTTCCCCAGCATCAAAACAAATTTACAAAATAGGAAAGACATATGGCTATTAGTAGATTACTTTATAAACAAGGTATTTAAAACTTAAATTAGTACATGTAAAGAATTGGCACGAACGGACGAAGGTTTGTTTTCACCGTAGCAGTAGCATCTGCACAACATACCCCCTCAGCCACTGCCCTCAGCCCTTCCCCCCTCCAAGAGAGGTAGCGCTGCCGGCTGCAGATTTCTTCAGCTCTATTTTCATAGACTGAGTCTCAGCTCGAGGCTCGAATTTGGTCAGATTTCCTGCTCCTGGGGCTGCCACTACTGGCTTTCCTGCTTTCATACCTTTTGACATAGGAATGCGGGTGGGTGTAGGCCGCTGGGATGACCCGTCTTGTCCTGACTGTAAAAGACAAAAACACAGAAACACAAAGGAGATGGTGGTGAGTTTCCCCCTGGATGTGCTCGCTCTGAACGAGAGCAGGACTCTTGCCACAGATAACCCCTCCCCAAGCTAAATTATCGTTAGAAACTTGGAGTCAGTATCTAATCCACTCTGATTGCCTCCTGTTCTCTCCTGAAGTATCTATGCCTAACTTCCTTCTCTTCTCAAGCTCCTACCCTATCTCCTCTACCCTTACTGAAGATGACCTTGCCTCCTATTTCACAGAGAAAATACAGGCCTGGCATAAACTCCGGCAGTTTTAGTTGTACTGTCCCCCCAAATTACCTCCACTTTCTTCAATCTTCAGGCCAACACTGTATCCACTAAGCCAAACCAGCTAGGGCTCCTCCCCTTTCTTTAACTAGCCAGCTCTCCTTTTACCTCCTAAGATTTCAGACTCTTCTCATTTTTTACTGTCACTGATGACCACACCCTCTTTCTTGAAGTGCTTCTAAAACTCTCTTGCCATAATTTGTTACTTGATTCTCACCCATCACATCCGGTTGTGATGACTGTTTTTTAATCTCTTGCTGGCTTGGCTCCTTGTTCCAGCTTGGCTGCCTGCAAAATGTGGGCATCGCCATATTCCATCCTTAGCCCTCTTTTAATTTTTTGCTTTCACGCTGAAAATCACCTCAGTTATCACTCCAGGTGTTGACAAGTTCCAGACCGTAAGCCTTCAATGCTCCCCTTAAAACAGATCCAGGTTTCCAACTACTTCGCTAAACATTTCCAGTGTCCCTCAGGCATCTCAAATATAACACCCCCCAAACATTACTTATCTTCTCCTCCAGACAGTAGTCTTCCTATGTTTCTTATCCTATCCACCCATACATCCAAGCCAGAAACCTCAGAGCCGTCCTTCATACTCAATTTATCATGAAATCTTCAATTCCGTCTCCAATATAGCTCTGCCCTCATTTCCCTGCCATAGCTCAAGCCTACACCATCTCTAGCCTAGAGAATTGCCACGGTGTCTCTGCCCTCAGCCTCTGTCCCCTCCAATTTATCCTTTAAACTGTTTTATACACATATCTTTCTAAAACATAAATAGTGTAATGTTTTCAAATCATCTTTACCCTTTCAACACCCTTTATCGACTCTATGAGATTAAACCCAAATTTCATAGTAAGACCTGCACCTCCTCTCTTCACCATCTGCCCCCAGTTTGTCTCCTTGCATTCTGTCGCCAGGCCTCACTGCTGCTGCACAGTGGGACTGCTCGCCCTTCCCCGAACACCGCAGGCTCCTCCACACTGCCATACCTTTGCACATGCTGTTCTCTCTCCCTGCACCTTCCCTTCCTGAAAATCCTTGTCTGTGAAAACCTCCTCCTCTGGGAAGCCTCTAGTGCTTCCTGTGTGCGTACTTCTACCAGAGAACCAGAAGGTAGGTTCCAGTCCTGACTCTCCCACTAAGCCGAGAGCTTCTAAAGGTCCTCTTTGCAGTCAGCACCTAACCCAGTGGCTAAACTGTAGCTAGTACGCAATTAATTCAATACTTCAATAATAAATGAACAAATAAACTAGCCTCACTATTTGATTTCCCAAACTTCTTGTTCTTACTTTAATGGGATCAGATATACCTGAAGTAGGTGGGCCATTATTCAGGCCTTAGAAATCTTAGCTGTTTTGAAATCCTATTTGTCTACGGGGTTTAATTGGTCGTCACAGATGTTGCTACAGAAGAAGGTAAGGCCATCTTGATCTGACCCTTAAAATGAGAATAAGATGTTCCAGCAGAGAAACCTGCTCTCAATTACACTTCCATTGTCTCTTTATAAAAATTCAAGCTATGCTCTGTATTGCCCAAAAAGCAATATTGAATTTTGAGAAGGACGAGCAATTCTGAATGCTATTCAGCTCCTATAGAGCTCGTAATAAAAAGCTTTGCTGGCAAAGCAATTACTGATTCACATATTGAACTCTGTCTTGAGTCTATCTTTGTACACAGAGAATTAATAGTAAATTGTATTGAAGATATGGGAAAATAAGCCATAACTTCTATACTTAAGTAAATAGCTTTCTTAAGAGTTTCCAATATATGTTGCAGAATTTGCTCAGAGTCTAGGAATCATAATTTCTAGTTTGCTTAAATTAATATCTAAGTAGTACATGATCTTCTATAATTTCATTTACCAATTTGTCCCCAATAAATGAAGACAGTCGCTGAAAGCATTTTCAAAACTAGAACTTATTTTTAAGTTCTGGATTTTATACTTTGGACACACTTTTTTTATTATCATTCATTTAGCCTTCCAGCTGGTTGTTAAGTAATATTTGTGAAGCACCTGCTCTCTGCAAGATACTATTAATAAAATATAGTATGTAGACATATAAACTCACTTCTATTTTACTTCAAATTTTTTTTAAATATTAAAATCTTTCAATATCATTTTTTGGAAGAAAGTATGACTATGATCATACATAATCACATATTGAATAGTGTAGCTTATAGAAATATAACCTGGGAACAGCTTAAATTTTTCTTGCCTATTTCACCGTTTTCCCCCAGTCTCCATTTTAAAAAGTATTTTAAACATAAAAAAATCAAATTTTAAACATTATCACTGTATGCTGACATTGCAAAGAGGCCATCTTTGAAAGTATTGGGGGGGGGGGTGTCTCCATCATTTACACGAAAAAAATTTCCCCTCAAAATTAGCTCATGTCCAGCCTAGTGGCTCAGTTGGTTGGAGCACTGTCCTGTACACCAGAAGGTGGTGGGTTTGATTGCTAGTCAGGGCACATACCTAGGTTGTGGGTTCAATCACGGTTGGGGGACATATGGGAGGCAACCGTTCAATGTTTCTCTCTCTGTCTGTCTCTCTCCTTTCCTGTTTCTCTAAAATCAATAAACATATCCTCAGGTGAAGATAGAAAAAATAAGCTCAATTTATTAAAATATTAGGCCACTTTTTATTTCTATTTTCTGGTGTACCTAGTCCTCTAGGAAACATCTGCCAGTGGGTTCAGGTGGCGCGAGAGGCATTTGCCTTTGCTTTATTTGGGGCGTTGGGTTATTCTCACTCCTCACTTCTTCCTCCCTCCCTCGCCCTGCACCTTAGAACCTCTTCCACTCACCACTGACTGGGTTCCTCGAGTGGAGGAGGTTGTGACTGGGGTGATGGTGATGGTGCTTGTCACTTTGCTTGCACCAGGCCGTGAGGAGAGGTGGTTCCTGGGAGAGCGGAGGACAGTGCCGGTGGAGACCTCCTTTTCCGCTGTCACGCTGACAGGTCGCACAGTGATAACTGGACTTGCTCCTTCTGCCGAAGCCCCAGGGGACCGTTTAAACTGAGAACCTAAATGAATGTGGATTTTATTGTCCTCTGTGGTTATGATATTGGCATTGGAGTTGTATTTCCGTAGTGGCGTTGGAACAGTCTGTTTTTCTGGGGTGACTTTGAGGACAGTCCTTCCCATGGACATTTCCTGGGCGTCGGGAGAGACTGCAATCTCAGCCGGGGCAGCTGATGTAGACACTGTCATTATCTGAATGGGGGATGTGGGCCTGTCCGCAAATGCGCCTCTTCCACTGTCCGGGGTTTTCTCTCTGGAATATGTGGTAATTGTGACCGGGGACATGGCTCGTTCTGGGCCGAGAATACCGTCTCCACTTTTTGTTTTTTGAGACATAACATTTGGTGATGGAATAATGGTTATCCTTGGCTTCTGATTCCCTAATGTAGGAATGACAGTGGTACTAGAGAAAAATTCTTCGGATGTAGGGCTTGTTATCTCCAACGTCGCAGTACTGTTCTCGTGGTCTGGTGTCACACGAATATGCAGGGGCTGGCCCTGCTTTGGTGAAAGAACCAGCTCTCCTGGGTGCCCTGGACTGGAATTTGTTCGGGGCCCTTTCTCTGGAGTAATCGAAGGCCCGTTTTCCCTTTTCCTCATCCAGGGAATCCACGACTTTCTCATCGTGAGCTCATTTGCTGCTGGAGGATACCTGTCGAGAACAGAGGATCGTTCCATAGGTTTTTTCAATCCCACCTGTCGAAGGTTGCTCATGATATGATTCTCTTCTTGAAAGGATTTCCGGATAAATACTGCTGGGGTTTCTTCCTCTGCTGCCTCGCTGCTGACAGCATCAGTCTGCACTCCAGTCGAGGTCACAGGAATATCTACCATTCTTCTCCCATTCATACTGGGTCTTAGAGCTCGGCTGTAACGCTTGGAAAGCTCCAGCTCTTTGGTCAGATTGAGGACCTCCTGTCCCATGTTTTTGTTCTTATTTTCTTCCTCCATAAATCTTTGTTGAAGGACAGAATAGTCCACTTGGAGCTGAGAAAGCTGATCTTCTTTGTTCATTAATTCATGAATCTTCTCTTTAAGAGCTTGCACTTCAGCTTTTAAGTCTCGACTTTTAGCCTCTTCCAACCGAAACCTGTGCCTCAGCTCCGCTTCCTGGCTCACAGCCTCACCTTTCTCGATTGCTTTGTTCTTGGCAATTTGGTGCTTTATCTCCTCCAGTTGCTGAGAGAGGAAATTAGCCTTATCTTGCTCAGTTCTAAATTTCTGCTCCAGCTGATCATACTCATCCTCCGTCTTCATCAAATCCCCTTCGACCACCTCCAGTTGTTGGAGACGTTTCTTCAGTCTCTCAATTTCAAGCGTTAGTTCCTTAATCTTGTTGTCTTCCGGGCAGGTGAGCTCAGGTCCTTTCCGAGACCTTCCTCTGGTTATTTCTCTCTCCACTTCCTCTATCCCATCAAGTCTCTTCTTTAATAAGTTAACACTGCAGCTTAATTCAGACGATTTTTCTTCTTCACTTTTCAGTTTGCCTACTAACTCGTCCCTCTCTTTTGTCAAGTTGTATACTCTTTCCTCCATTTCAGACTTCAGCTTTAAAAGCTTCTTACTTTCTTCGATTAGTTTTTCAGTTACATCCATAACCTTTCCTTGTTCCACCTTAAAATTTTTATTGAGTCCATCCACTTTTCTCTCTTCTTGCTTTATTTTTTCCATCATATTTTTCCTTTCATCAACCAGCATCACAGTAAATGACTTCAACTTTGTAAGATCATCTTTTAGGCTTAATTCAGCCTTTTCCAATCTACTTTCGGAACATTCCAGTTCTTTAACTCGGCTCTTGACGACCTCCAATTCATTTAGCAGGTCTTTGGTTAAGTTCTTTTCTTTCTCTAGATTTAAATGTAGCTGGGTGCATTCAGATTTACTCTTGCTAAATGCTTCTTCCAATTTCTCCAGTTCAGACATTCTCTTCTGTAACTTCTCAACTTCGATTTTGAGCTCCCTACTATGATGTTCTTCCTCTTGCAATTTCTTCCTCAATTCCCTGCACTGGGATTCCGTTTTAGTGATCTCCTCATCTTTACCCTCCATTTCAAGCACGCGCTTCCGTAGATTTTCCACTTCTGCCATGAGGCTGGAGTTGCCACATTCCCCTTTGGCAATTTTATCTCTTAATTCCTGAAGTTCTTCCTCTGCCTTTTGAAGATTTTTGTTGGTCTCTTCTAGCTCCTCAATTCTTTGCGTTAAGCCAACCAGCTTGAGTCTAAGTTGCCTGTTGTGAGACTCTTGATTAGCCAATTTAGCATTCATCTCTTCATGCTCTTGGGAAAACCTCGAAGCCTTGTGTTCGAAATCCACTTCTAACTTGAGCAATTTCTGCCTGTCTTCTTTGGATTTGGAAGTAATGGCTTTGAGTTTTTCTTCTTCTTCCCTCAGTTTCTGAGTGAGATCCTGTACTTTCTGGCTTTGCAGGCCAAGTTGCTCAATATGCATTTGTCTTTCATCCACCAGCATGAGTGCAAAGGACTTCAGTTTCACAAGCTCATCTCTTAGTTTATTGAGCCTCTTAGCATTTTCCTTTTCTTTACGGGCTTGGTAAGCCTTTTCTTGTTCAAGGAGCTTTTTCAACCTATAAAACAAAATACATTAAAATATTATATTTTATACTTGATATTTTCTATTTATATGTATTATACTTATTATTATAAATATTAAAAGATTAAAGCAAATAGGTTTGTCTTAGATGTTAAATAAAAATTAAAATGCTATTACAGTAAGTTCCTTATCAATTGCTGCAATATCAAAGTTTAACAAATAGCCATTAATGAAACTAATCAGAAGTCAGGATATTAGTTACCCTTAGAGAGGGGTAGTGACTGGAAGTGGGCATGAAGAGGTACAGTTTCTGTTTCATGATTTATGTGTTGGTTACCACAGGGTTATTCAGCTTATAAAATTTCTGTAAGCTGAACACTTATGATATGAGTGCCTTTCTGCATATGTATTATACTTCAATACCATGATCACTGATAACACTTAGCCTGTGCAATAATAATGACTGTTTACAGAGTGCTTTCTGCATTCTAGGTGCTAGAAATTATTTTATCCTCTGAGCCATGTACTGCTACTATCATCCCCATAAGGAAAACGAGACATGGCACCTGCCACAGGTCACACAGTCAGTAATGGGCAGAGTAGGGATTCAAACTCAGGCAGTAGGGTTCCAGAATCCTGGCTCCTCACCTCTGCTAAGATGACTTCAAAAGAGAAACTTACTTTTTTTAAAACTTTATTTTTATTATTGACACGATTAAGAAATTTTCTTTAAATGAAAGAGAAGGCCCAGAAAAGAACCTTTGGGTTCTCTTATTTCATATGCAACTATCACCTGATAGGGACAAAGCAAGATGAGCTATCTGACAGAAAGCTCATCTACATAAACTGATTTTGTTAACACCACAACTGGCACAGGATTTTCTCTCAGTTTTTTTTATTTAAATAGTTTTTTTTTTAAAAGTAGAGAGCTAGGTTAGGGAGGAAATCTGAACTACTCTTAATACAAATATGTGGCAGTCACAGGAATTATTATGTTTCACTTGTATGAAATGCATTTTCTCTATTGTGTTTATGTATAGCTTTAAAAACTGGAAATATAAATATGCCAGAGTACCTATTTGCCATCCTTATGTTGGTCAGTTAACTTGCACCAATTTTCAATAGTTTTTTACAACTACCCATAAAACAGTTAAAATAAAAATCATCATGGATGTAAGAATGCATTTTAGTAATTTATGTTATTAGAGAGGCAAGTTATAAACAACCACTAACATGTACTTGCTTAAGTATATTTTTAAAAATATATTTTGTGCCTTATTTATTCTGAATGATTTATTTCATATTTATGACTAATAGCTAATCAGCTGTTAGCCAAGTAAAAAGAAATTAATAGTCTCACATTGCATTGTGTAAGAAATGGACATACATATAGAAGCTCTTTATAATCAAAGCCAGTGTCAGATAATTACTATAAAAATAGTTCTGATGATGTCATTAAAATTTTTTAATGGTATTTATTTTTAGAACCCATATCCTGTGTCTAAGTGTCTATTAACTAAATACATAACTTCCAAAACCCAGTATGACTTTATTCTTAAAATAGAAGAAAAAGATTATTTTTCAAATCCCATGGACTTGCCTGAGCAATACTGTGATGGCTTCACTAAATGTGGTTCTTACATATATAAAAGGGCATTTTGTTGATCATCTTCTCTTTTTATTTGAAGCCAAAACAACTGAAGCAATGTCACAGAACTATAGAGTAGGAGAGACTTCAGGGGATGTTTGCAAATTTCTTTACCTAAACCAGATTGTCAGAAAGGGATTCACTGAGAACATCAATGCTTTCGACTCTAAAATTAAATCTAAAACTTCTCAAAGTATTTGTTTGAGTATTCGATGTCTCTCTGGTATTGGAAGCAGGGGGTTGAAGTATAGCTGAATCTTAATTCTAGCTCTGCCAGTTTTCTAACTGGGTTACATCCGGCCAGTCACTGAAACTCTCTAACCCTGTTTTATCACCTCTTATCCACTCTCCTCTCTGTCCATCTTGCCATTCTTCAACCACATGTTGATTCTAAAAATATTATAATAAAAAGGAAATAAACCAGAAGACCAAGACTAAGAAGATGAATTAGTACCTGATTCTTATCAACAGTTACAGGCAGAGCCCTAAGTATCCTGAAACCAAATTTATTCTTGGCAAATTCTTCATTTTCTGCAAGCATTTAATCTTATTTAGAGGACAAAAGGAAGACAAATAAATGATCTAATCGATTTTTCAAAATTCTCTTGCCTTTCTTAATAACTATTAAATATATTCCTCACTTTTCTTTTCAACCTAAATAAAACTATTTTTTAACTTGCAAGTGTGTCATTTATAAACATATTAGGAATTCAGTTGTTTTCAACTAGAAGACTTTAAAATGTAGGCACAAATGTTCTAATTGTTTATGGTGCATACATTTGTCAAGACTCATCAAATCGTATATTCAAATTGGTGAATGTTATTAAATATAAATTATATCTCCATAAAAAATATAGTAAGAAAAGTAATAAAATAAAAAAAAGTCCTGCACAGACAACAGGGGGAGGTGAGGGCATGAGTGGGAGAATGGGGTGGGGGGGCAATGGAGCTATAAGGACACATATGTAATACCTTAATCAATAAAGAAAAACATTTTTTTAAAGTCCTGGAAAGTATTCCAAGATATCAAATAAAGAAAGTTGTAAACAAATGTTATAAAAGAGTGACTTAAAATACAAAATAGGTTATTAACCTTATGGTAGAAAGAAGTGAAAGCAGAAGTCAGAAAGGTAAAGAGGGCTACCATTTTCAGGTGGGATTGGAGAGATTCACAAGAAAATTTGTTTGGGGGAAATAATGTTTCAGGTACTAGAAAACCTCTAACCCTAATAATATTTCAAGAGGTTCTTAAAAGCCCATCACAAACTCCAACATTTGCTAATACCTAATTTTAAAAAAAGACTAGAAAGAAAGGTCTTTGATAATAAAACATTTATCAATTACCTATTACGTACTAGGCAGTGTGTTAAGTACTTTAGTATTCATTTCATTTTCATAACTTTTTGAAAATTTTACTGTGCCATTATATTAATAAGGAAGTTGATTTAATCAAGGAAGCAGGACTAAAGAAGGAGAAGGTTGGGATTTTGGGCCAGATCTGTTTGACCATAAACAATGCACTTTTAACAACAATGCTCTTCCTCAAAGAGATATTGCTGGAACAGATCAAATTTGTAAGACTTTGTGTTTATTTAGGTTAAACTTTATCCTGCTTGATTCATTCTATCCTTATGGAATTGTCAAGGTCCTCCTTGGACTCTGTCTTGTCACCCAATAGGTCAGCTTATATCTGATATGTTAAAGCATTCAAGCATTGTGTCAATCGCAAAATGACTGTAATCACTAACAAAAAAGGCAGGTCAGTGCACAGAGGCCTCCAAACACTCTCAAGATCTCCCTCCTGCTGGCACCAACCTATTCAGTAGCATGGACATTGTCATTCAATTAGCTATGAACCCACTGGGCTGTTATTCCTTCTCTCTTCTGAGCTCCTAATCCTCCCCAAGAACCTGTTTTGACCACATCTTCCTCATGTCAATCAACTACAACCAAATTCTTCCAGATACTGGGGCCCAAAATCTAGACATATTTGAGTCCTCTCCTCTCACATCCCCCCATTCAGTTATTTAGCAGATCTTGTCTACTCTACCTTCAAGTCAGAGAAAGACAAGTACCATATGATTTCACTCATATGTGGAATCTAATGAACTAACAAGCAAAATAGAGACAGACTTATAGATAGAGAGCAGACTGACAGCTGTCAAAGGTGGGGGTCTGCTGTGTGGAGGGTCAAGGAATTGAGGGGGAAAAAGAACTCATTGACATTAGTGTGGTGATTTGGGGAGGGCCTGTGGAGGTGGGAAGGGTTTCGGGGAATAAATGGTGATGAAAATAAAATTAAAAATAAAAATACTTTGCCTAAATAAACTAAAATCTTGTCATTGAAAAACGAGAGAAGGGGGTATACATGGTGATTTTTAGGAACCAGAAGTCATAGGGTTTGGTGATAAGATTGAGTGAGGATGAAGAGGTTGAAATTTGGACAGACTCTTCAGCTTCTGGCTAGGGTAATTAATTTGATGCTTATCAAATATAGGATAATATAAGGGAAACACACTTGGAGGGGAAGGTCACGGTGTTCCGGAAAAGTACAATGACTTGAGGTTCCTGAGAATCTACATGTGAAATTCTTATTGGTAGGCCTGGTGTTCAGGAAACACCCAGGGAGAGTCTCCAGGGACTGGTGCCATCTAAAGCCACAAGAAAGGAAGAGGTAAGTAGGAGATGTGTAGACATAGGGAGGAAAAGGAGTAAGAACAGAAAAAAGATATGAGATGAAAAAACACAGAGAACTCAATGAGAGAGCCTGAGCAGGGATAGCCAGAGAGACAAGCAACAGTGTATTCATTCCAGACGCCAAGAGGGCAGAGAGAAGCATAAGGAACAGGCAGGGTCCCTGATGCCAAACACTCTGGAGTGATCAGGTGAGCGATCAGAAAAATATCCATTGTTTTCACTTAGATTCAAATTTTAAAAACTTTTTTTTCTATTGGACTTGTCAGTATGTATATCATCAGTCCGTCATTATGAGTAATTTCAGTGGAGTTAGGGAACAATATACAGATTAAAGCTTTAGCTGACAAAAACCCAAGAGAAAAAAAATGGAGACAAATATCTTAGACTAATTATTTGAGATCTTAACTGTTAAAGGGAGGAGATATAGGAAAATAGATACAATAAAGAGATAGGGCAGGATCAACATTTTAACCTTTTATATATAGTTGAAATCATATAGATATATATATGAGATCAGCATATTCCCACTTAACTTTAAAGCTCTTTGGGTTTTTTTTGAAATAGCCCAGTTTATAAATAATCATAGAATGCCACTATAATAAATAAAAATGTAAATATTGAATACTACCATTGTACAGTCCCCAATGAAATACTAATGCATATAGGCAATGTCTCCCAAAAGAGAAATA